CCAAAAACAAAAAACAGCAACCTGGTTCCGGGGGGGGGGGGGGGGGGGGTCGGGGCAGAAATCAAGGCCTTTTGGGCATCCATGTATGTACTGTGGAATCCCCAGCCTAGTTTCTGTTCCCCTTGCATGCTGCCCAGTTAGAAGGACCTGTCCATCAGCTGCCTTTCCCATCTAGGGTATGGATGGGACGAATGCCTGGATGGGAAGCAGATAGAGGGCAGACCAGTGAATCGTGTTGGCATCCTCTCTTGTGAATAGCAGGTTCCGGACTCATAAGAGTCTTTTGATCATTTAATTTTTTTCCCCTAACGCAGCTGACTCATTGCAGGGCACAGTCTGAGAATCAAGGGTCTCCATCACTTCGCTCTGTCTTTAGAAGTGGAGCGGCCGGAAGGGCTGTGCGTGAGTGAAGCAGCTTTCGGCAGGCTGAAGGGGGGGGGGCTTGAAGAGAGCTATAATAGGACGGTTAGCAGATCTCTCTTGCCGGCCCCCTTTTTTTCTTTCTTTTTTAATCAGCCACCCATGTCGTCTCTGCCTCCCAGAAGATGTTTCCAAATTGGAAAGTCTTGGGGAAGATTTTATTAAAGTATAAAAATGGCTAAATTGGTTTCCCCCTCCCCCGACTCCCTGTTAGGAAGTAAGCATTTAATCAAATCTTCTTAATGGCAAGGACCACCACCCATTTTTGCACACATAAAGAGCAGCTTATGGTGGAGCGGCATGTTCATAATTTTATCTGTAAAATAGTCTTGTCACCTTTCAGACCACCCTGCCAAAGACAGTGTGCAATACAATCAAGGTCAGATAAAATGGGATAAGACAAGTAAATTATGGAACCACACTGGCCTTCTTTCTAATGATCAGAGATGTGTACATAAAGGGGGGGGGTAGCAGTGCTGAGCTAAAGGCCCCTCCCCCTTTGAGGCTGCGTACAGCTTTTCCTACCCGTCTTCCATGTTCCGTGCTCTGTTGTGTTTTACTTCCACCTTGAGTGATTCCAGCCCTTTGGGAATCATGCACCAGGAAGTGCTGTGCAGCCAATCTGAGCTTGTTGTGTATTGGTATCACCTGGGGCGAAGGCGCAGTGTTGCATCTCTGAGGCACATCATGGGCCAATGGAACTCTTTTGTGACTGTTTTGCAGCAACGCCTGAAATAGTGGGGGCGGGGGGGGGGCTCTTTCTGCATTGACTGAGACCTTTTTGAAATTTGCACTGTCTGTTTTTGAGCATCACGTAGCTGGTGAGTCTTCTGATAAGAGACATGTGGACTGTGGCCCTGAGATCTGAGAGTATTAACTGGTACTGAGGATCAAAACAAACCAGATCTTTTCCTTTTTTTAATAGCTAAATTGCAGTCAGACAAAAAGCCCAGTTTGGATCACAAACAGAAAGGACAGGCATGTTAATCCTTCTACCACTACCCTTTGATTCTGTCTACTAAAACGATCCTTGTTATGCCGTAATTACCCCTGGCATCCATTTTTTTTTCATTCCAGGGTTAATTCCAGCAGGAGGAGTGTGGTTTCAGTAAAAACCATGCAGACGTGGCTCCCTTCCCCCATGGCTTTGATCCAAATTGGAGGTCCACACAGTTGCAGTTTAGCTTCGAAAAACATACAACCTGAAAAAGTTTTGCCAGGTGGCATTATGTGGACAGGCGGGTGTCAGAGAAGCAAAACCACTTTGCTGCCATCACAGCCACAGAGTGGGCATTTCTCCAAACTCCTTGATAAACCAGATGGGGCTCCAAAGGGTTGCTTATGTCTGTTATTGGCTCTCTTCTAGGTCTACTCAGTGGGCAGACGTCTCCGACCAACATTAAACTGGAGAAGCTGGATTCTCAGCAAGTTCTGCAGCTCTGTCTCCGGTACCAAGACCACCTTCACCAGTGCGCAGAGGCAGTGGCCTTTGACCAGAATGCTTTAGTCAAGCGAATAAAAGAGGTATGGGAGAGGCCGTGGTTGCAGGTGGAAAGTGAAGCGAATGGAATGTAGTGGCTGCCTGTAAGGGAGGGCAGTATAGCCCCAGTAGTGAGCATCCGTCAGATTCACTGGCAAGGAAGGAAGGATGTCACAGGCTGTGTGAATGGAAAAGATGGCATTGTCGGTGGGACCTGGGCTTAGAGGGGCTGTCTGCCTAGAGAGAAAAGGCATCTGTTTTGTTTGTAGTTGGCCAGGAAAGCGGGGCTTGCAGTCTGCTGCAGCTCCCCGGGTGCAGGGTGACGCTTTCCTGGCTAGCTTCGCGTGAACTTGTGTGTGGTGTGCTGCGCTGCTGCTTTGCTTGCCTGGCGTCTTTCTCATTGTCTGGCAAAGGCAGTTCAGATGCTACTTTCAGACAGCAGTCAGTGCTGTGATGGGAAGGCAGGAGCGCTGACTCTCTTGCTGTATGCTTTTGAATGCAGCTGTGCTGCATCTGTGAGTCTACAAGATTTCCCTGACTGTGACATTGGCCCCAACTTCGGTGTGGATCTTTGGTGGGGGGAGAGACTTCCTGTGTACTCATAAATGCCATTCCAAGTTAGATGGTTAGATTGTCATGAGGACTGTTCTGGTGGGAAAAGGTGTCCAAAAATTGTAAATGAATGTGAGCAAGCCCAGGTAGGTGGCTGTTTCTGTATGATCTTCCCAGAAAGTAACACCTGAACCTGGCTGGAGGACAGATGCCATCCGGGTTTCTTCCAGTTGCCACTGACTACAGGGATTTGAATTTCAGTCTTTGTTCTTCCCAAGAGTTTGGGTCAAACCCAATCAACCAATGGAACAAAATATCCAGTGAAATGGCAGTTGCCACACATCTCCTTAGTCCTGGCTGCTCAACACCAACCCAAAGAGGATGCCTTCTCGGCTCTTCTGTTGACAAATAGCCTGATCCCATCAGATCTCAGAAGCTTAGCAGTATTTTGAAAGGCGACCTCCAAGGAATACCAGGGCAAACCACCACTGAAAGGTCTCTTGCCTTAAAAACAAGTCTAGCTCACCACCTAGTGGTGCATAATGCTAAAGAGCTAGAACTTCTGGCTGCCAGACAACCTTAGTATCTCCTGGCTATTCTACACACAATGCCATATGATGATGATGATTTATCTCTAGTGGGAGGCAGGACCACATTTGTGGGGCAGCGATGGGGAACGCTGCTGTTTGCCTCCTTCCGGTTGGCACTTGGGACATAGACAGTACAGTCTAGAAGACAACTTCAGCTGTTCTTTAACAATTCTGATGCCCAAAAAATGAGAAGGTGGTCTTTTAGACCTTGAGAGAATGGTAAGTCTGAACTGGCGCCTTGAATTGTGCCAGGAAGACACAAAGGAGTCAGTGTTGCAAGGAGTGTGAGGGCGAGAGATGCTAAACAGTATTTATTTTATTATATTTGTAGTCCACCTTTCTCACTGAGACTCAAAGGAGATTATACAGTGTTAAGTCAATCATTCGGTATGAAGAGATGTCTAATAACTAGAACTAGAATTACAGAATGGGGAATGAGCATGGTGGATTAGATACAATGCAAAGTGCAGGTACAGCTCTAAATGATAATAAAGTTACAAAAATGCATTTGACAATGTTAAAGTGGTACAATAAGTTTGGGATTGATAAGAAAGTAAGTACTGCATATGTTTCAGGTTTCCCAAAATTTCTATTTTTTTGAAGGAAATTTTTTTTCCTTAGATATTTTTCAAAATTTCCAGAAATTTCATATTTTGGGATGGGGACACACACAACTAGGTTGGCAAAATAATATGCTAGAGTGTTTGCTTTTAATTTTTATTCATTTATGCCTTTAATCTGAATTATGGCTCACCTCTCTCCAAAGGGTTAAGGTGGGTAACAAGATGTGAACTGCAGAAATAACCATCCCTCTTGTTTGTTTGTTTATTTCATTAAACTTATGAATCACCCACCCTTGCAAGCAGGCTCTGGGCGATTTACAGCTTTATAAAACATTTAAAATACAGTCAGTCTATATAATTAAGTTTGCCAACAGTACTCAGGGCCCGGTAAATCAATAATTTAAAACCAGTCCAAGATAGTAATATAATAATCCCCCTTTACCAGCCACACTGTTGTCCCGCGTAGCAGGGCACGGTATGTGGGGGCCATAGGAAGGAAAGGAAAGGTGCCAGTCTTAACCTCCCGTTGCTGCCCTCAGCTAAAAGCCTGGTGGAATATCTCTGCCTTACAGGCCCTGCGGAATTACATCAGATCAGCCCTGATGTCATTCAACAGAGAGTTCCACCAGGTCGGGGCCAGGACCGAAAAGGCCCTGGCCCTGGTTGAGGACAGCTGGACCTCCTTAGGGCCGGGGATCACCAGCATGTTGTTACTAGCCAGTCTCCGTGTTCTTCTGGGGACATATTGGAGGAGACCTTTAGCAAAAGTCAGCTTGAAAGGAATGGTCTTTCTGCCTTCTGGAAGGCTTGGGGCTTTGGTGAGTTTCCAGAAGAAATGGATTCTAGAGGTGAGGGGCTTCGGAATGCCCTTCCGATTTAGTGCCTAGATGGAAATCACACAACAGCATTCCTGGCTGATATCAAAAGTCCAGGAAGGCATGGAGGATGTCTCAGAATATGTTTGAGGATGATCAGCATTTCACACCGACTCTAGAAAGCAATCAGGAGCCGTTACAAGCTCTGGTTAATGTTCTCTCGCCCGTCTCCATCTGAGAGGGAGCTACAGCATTAGAGGCGCAGTGAGTTACTGCTTATTACAGGCAATATTTTGTAGGCATCAACTCGGTCAGAGTTACCCATTAGGGGAGGGCTGTACAACCATCCCGAGGCATTCCTTTAGAGTAAGCCTTTCAGTGCATCAGAGTCCTTGTGTTGCTCTGTTTAATGAGGCATCCAAGAGTCTGGAAGCCATCCAAAGGGCTCCCATTCTGCAGCCCTGTCTGTTATTAGGTGGGACAATCCATTTTTGGAATCCTGGCATACTTTTGCTTCCCTGTCATGCAAGGGTTGACTTGCTGGTGGGTCTGGTTGACATACTGCACATCACAGGGCCAACTCCAGCCTACAAAGTTTATTAAGTTGAATGTTTTTAAAGTGGAAACTTCTGCAGCGGGTTTAAATTGTTTCCACACCCAGTGAAATGGCATGCTCTGCTTGATTGTATTTTATCACAAGTGTGGAAAGGGAGGAAGCCACAGGAAAGACCAAGGGAAAGTTGCTGGGTTTCAGCTCCAGCACGAGAGAAGTCAAGCTTTGATTTCGACTGTGTAATGCTGACTCCTGGACTAGAGTGTTCGAGCTCCATGGGGGCTGAGGACCAATCTCCATTTAGGCAGATTGTCCAAAGAAGAAGTATCTGCAGTTATCTCCTCAGTGGAAAGAAGTCCCGTCTGTGACCACATGGAGAGAATGTGGGGAAAGAGGGTTGTACTGGAAGTACAGGCAGAGAGGTGGAAGGAAGATGCAAGCGAGTGTCTTTGCAAATGATAAAAGCACAATCTGTGTAATAATACCTTCAATTAGCACCAGCCAAAATGACATAAAACTGCCAAGATGACATAAAAAGCCAGCCAAAATTATATAAAGCTTTTGAATTCATTGGGTTGCCCTGGTTTGGTGTAGTGGTTAAGTGCGCAGACTCTAATCTGGGAGAACCGGGTTTGATTCCCCACTCCTCCAATTGCAGCTGCTGGATGACCTTGGGCAAGCCATAGTTCTGTCAGAGCTGTTCTCTCAAGGACAGTTCTGGAAAGAGCTCTCTCAGCCCCGCCTACCTCGCTGGGTGTCTGTTGTGGGGAGGTGAAGGGAAAGGAGTTTGTAAGTGGCTCTGAGACTCTGAGTGAAGGGCAGGGTATAAATCCAATCTCCTCCTCCTCTTCTTCTTTTGAATGAGCAGCAAAAACACAAGGTATTCTCCCTTCTCTTCCATGTGCTGGAAGTTCACAAGTTGCCCATCTTTCGCTGCTCATGGATCTGGACCGTTCTCATAAAGAGAAGGTCTTGTAGTGGTTGGTAATGTGTTGACTCCATTCTAGCAATGGAAGCCCCTCTAACTTTTCCCTTGGACACGTGAAGTGCTCCTCAAGGACTTCTGCTAAAAGTTAAAAGAGCTCCTGATGGCCAATTTTTTAGTTGTAGAACATTCCTTAACAGGTCGGGGCAACTGGCAGAGGGTATATAATGGTGTGCCTGTGGGATTTGCTGGCTGAACTTTGAAGAGGGTCATTCATTTCAACTTTGGGTGATTCCAGAGGGGGTAGAATTTTCCTGCTGTCAAACCCTACTTAGTATCAGCTAGCTGCCATGTTTTGCATGTTCCCTTCTCTGATCTTGGCTTGCTCGCTGCTCTGCCGCTTGCAGTAAACATTGCTAGGGAGACCGTGAGAGCCAGTTCTGCCAGACGGCGTTATCTGTCTGGCCTTGTGAAGGAGGGAGGGCTTGGGTTCCACCGCTGGTGTGAATCTTTCGGCTCTCATGAGGCACTACGACTCTCCTGCTTATCATGTATCCTCCCACCAGGAGAGTTCCCCCCCGCGCGCTCGAATTTCATTTGCTTAGCCATCTGCCTCATCCTGCTATATGTAAGGATGTTTCCGCCCCATGGGCATTCCTAACAATAACCCTGTGGATAGGGTACCAGTTTTGTAATCTAATAAAGCATAACGCTTCCTTGGAAACGTGTGTGGAGATTTACTTGCTGCTGCACCTGACAGAAATTGTTAGGAATCAGTTTTCCTCCATCGAGCCAAGTCTCTCCTGAGTGAGATGAGCGGTCCCGGTGGGGCAGGGGTTCCTACCCCGACAACCATGTCAGTGTCCACCCTGGTCACTACGACGGTGCCTACCCCGGTCACTACGGCGGTACCTACCTCAATTACTACAGTGGTGCCAGTGACGACCCAAACCACAACAGCGGGAACGGGGGCACCCGTGACGACGGTGAGCCCAGGAGGACCAATCTCCACGGATGGAGGGGCCACCCCTAGATTGATGGTTTTG